TATATATATATATATATATATATATATATACAGAGAGAGAGAGAGGAGCGTTCAAATAAAAACTTGCCTCATTTGTGTAAACCGTGTAAACCAATCTCATCCGTCCATTTTCTTGATCAATGGCTAAGATTAGTTTACTTTATTTTAGGAAATTAAAAATTAAAAAATTATTTTATTTCAATGATAAGGCAAATTGGTAAACAAAAGTTAACATCAATATAATATTAATTCCATAAACAAAAGTTAACATTAATATAATATCAATGAACAATTTTATAATGAAATCTTTTCACATTAACATTAATTCCATAAAGAACAAAATATAATATGCACCCGTTTCATCATATATTTATTTCATAAAAGAACACAATACATTACGCACCCGTTTCATTTTCATCCTACCAACTAAACAGATCAACTTCAATCACAAAGCAACATGGATCATCATGAACCTATATGTACATTCAATCACAAAGCAACAAGGATAACCATGAAACTTCAATTACAAAGCACYTATTTCATTAACACRTATAATATGCATAGACGGAGCAAATAAACCATTTTACAATGAAACCTTTTCACGTTGAAACAGTTTCATGACCATTGTTTTTTGAACTTTGTTTATGAAACTATTCATTACAATATTTTCATTAGGAAATAGAGAGATTATATTATTTCGATTTTTCAACTGTTTTGAAACGTTTGATGAAACCGTTGCATCAATAGTTCATTTTCCTTATTCCACTCATATGAACATGATTCATTATTATGAACATTTTCATTATGAAACAGTTTCATAAAACCTTTTCATTAAAGTGGATAATATGCCTAGAGTATTAATTTGGACAATATGCCTAGAGTATTAGATTATGAACATGCTTCATCATTATGAACTTTTTCATTATGAAACAGTTTCATGAAATTTGCCCTATATGAAACAGTTTCATGAACTTTAGGAATGAAGTTCGCCCCATATGAACGTTCCATATGAAACAGTTTCATTATGAATGTCTCATTCAAATCAAGTTTTTAATATTATAATATATTAAAATTTTTGATATGTTATCATTCAAGAAATTTTCATTATTAAATTTCCTTATTTAATATTTATTAATAACTACCTTATTTATCATAAAAATATAGAAAATGACCAAAATACCCTTATTGATTAAATTTAATTAAAAAAGAATGGAATTTTTCTATTGGTCGAATTTGGTTTACACGGTTTMTTAGAATTGCATGGTTTTCATTTGAACCTGCCCCTATATATATATATATATATATATCTATAATGAACTATTTCGTTAGAGGTATTAAGCAATAATAAATGAAAATGAAAATAAAAGAAACTGTTTGTTTATATATAATATAATAGGTTTATTCTCCCAAAGACCCAAATTTTCATTTCAAGTTAAACGTGAGGAATGAAAATTCTTTTCTATTTCCATTCCATGTCATTTCATTTTCATTCATCTGTCCGAACCAAACACCCCTTGAATATATTACAATAATATATTTTTTTAACTTATTGGAAATTAAAGAAATATGAAAAGGTCCAAAATACCCTTAACTGATTTTTTAACGAGAATTTAGTTAGAGGATCAAAAGTGAAACAAGATGGCAACTATATGATCAAAGTTGTAGTTAATTCAAAAGAAGAACAAGAATTGTTCACTGGATGACAACCACATAGACCAAAAGTGTAACTTACTTTATATTATATGTAAGAGATAAAAACCACAAGGGTGGTGTCTGATTGATTTGAGCTTGGTTCCAAAGGGCAAAAGTACTAGTAAGTCTCAGGTTCACATCCAATGAGGAATAAAAATCCCCTTGTGGCCACGGAGGTTCAAATGCGGTGACTTCGGGGTATCTGCAAAGCAGGTTGTCGCCCTGGGATTAGTCGGCTCGCATAGCGGGTTGAATACCCAAGTTAATAAAAAAAGGGTTAAATGCATGAAATAGCAACCTACTTTCATAAAAAAATTTATTATAGCATTCTACTTTTGTTTTTCTTTATTACAACAATATACTTTCAAATTATTTTTTATTAAGGCATTGTACTTTAAAAAATCTACTCATAATAGCAATAAGTAACCTATTACCTTTTAAACCGGTTAACCCTTTGACTTTTTTGTTTGTGTGGCTTTAATGAGGTGATATGGATGACACATTATTTTGATAACTTAACTAAAATTAAAATAAAAACCTATTTCAAATTATTATTAGTGATTTTCATTTTTCATTGCTATGATCTAAAAAACATTTAATTTTTTTTTACTTTTTCTTATTACGTTGTATTCAAATTAAATATTCTTAGAGTAAAAATATTTATTAAATAAATATGAAACATTATTTTCGAGATATATTTTGTTTGTAAAAAATGTAATTTTTCCTATTTTATGTTGTTCAAATGTATACATATCTTTTAAAGTTCTCTTCAATAAATTAACAAAATAAATTGTTATCTATAATTTTTTTAATATTGTTATATTAATATATAATTCAAAAAAATCTAATTAACTTAATACATTTATTCGTCAACTAAAAAGTTTTTGAACAAATATAATATATTCTTTAAAATATAATATTTTTGGTAAAAAGGGAACAATTCTTATTTTCTTTTTTTTCAAAAAACACATTTTTTTAAAAATATTAGCGAGATAAGTTGTGTTCTATTAGTTTTATTGATATTGGTATATTAATGAATAATTTAGAATTCTTAATTCATGTAATACATTTATTAAATAACATGTAAAATATCTAAAAATTAAAATTAAAAATACAATGTTTAATAAGAACTAGTAGATGCTATGATAAAATAATTTTGAAAGTACAATGATATTATAAGAAAGTCACATCACTATAGTACATGTGGACAGCCTACGTGGACAATGAGGTGGAATGGAAACCTAGTATAATGGGTAAATTTAAATCAAAAGGTTACCTAATGCTATAATGGATAAATTTTTTAAAATACAATGCTATAATAAAGAAATTTATGAAAGTAGATTGTTATTTCAAATATTCAAATAATTTCATTCAAACAATGTTAACTTTTTTTCTAATTTCATTAAGATGGTATTCTACCATGACAGGAAAACAATAAGTCTAAGAAATTGACATATTTGGTCCTCTGGTTTCAAGCATTGCTAAAAGCTAGTCCCTTTAGAATAGCCAAGGTACATAGATAGGACTCTTTCGATTTCTAATTCCTTTTAAGATTTAGGGGCTGTTTGGCAGTTGCTGAATGATTTAGTACAGAATAGTTAAGAGGTCAGAATAGTTAAGAGGGTCAGAATGGTTAAGTGCTGAATGAAATAATGTTGTTTGATAACTGTTTTCTGAATGACAATAACTTACCATTTTAACTCTCATCTAACAAAAACCCATTATTCCATTTTAACCTTCACTTTTTGTTCCTCTTTGCCCTCATCTAACAAAAACCCATTATTCCATTTTAACCTT